CAATAATAATCTACAAATAAGAAAAAGAAAACCAACATCAAATCCGTTGACACAGTATACTAACTTATGAATGAAACTTTATTGAAACTTTATCGCGCACATTTTTATAAATGTTTCTAACATCCCACATATTGTGGTTTACGTTTTGCCTCTTTTTATTCCTGTCATGCTGGGCTTATTTATTGTTTAGGTTCTTACTTCACAGCTTTAACATGTTGCAATATCTAAAAAGATACATTTCCATTTGCAAAAACTCATCTGTGTGAACACATTCAAAATCTCCTGGGTGCAAATTTAATTATTAATTTTCCTAATACCTTAATTGCTCTGCTATTTGCAAATATAATACGATTTTCTATTTTACCCAAATGATTTTTTCAGTCCTGAACAAATTTTGAACAGCAGAATAATGAATTAGTCACAAATCTTGGTGATGAAAAGCACTTCTAATTAAATCACCTGATGGTGCCGATGAAGAGTACAGGCTCTTGAGGAATGATGGCCAGCTTGCTCCGCAGGTCATCCAGACCAATCTGAGCGATATTGATCCCGTCGACGGTTATGGAGCCTGCGCTCAGCTCSACCAGCCTAAACAGAGCTGCAGCCAGAGACGACTTCCCTGCGACACCCAAAACAGAAAAGATGCTGCACTGACACATGTGGACATGATGCAATGGAGACTTAAATGGAATCTGAAACGCTGTTGGCGTTCGGGAGCAGAGAAGGTCAGCCGTACCTGATCCGGTGCGGCCCACAATGCCGATGGTCTCTTCGGGAAGAATGGTGAAAGATAGGCTCTTAAGCACCAGTGGCAGATCATCTCGATAACGCATGTTCACATCCTGGAAGGTGATCCCTCCCTGTTGAGGCCAGGAGGGGGCAGGAGCAGCTGCCTCAGGACTGTGTCGGGGTGCTTCACTGTCAAGACTCTGAGATAAGGCAAGGAGATGGTATCTGCTGTTAATCTCTGAATCTCTGATGAGGAGAAAGCACCTGAACTGAGTTCTAGTGATTTTCCCTCTGTGAGCCTTCTTTTGTACTTTGCACAAAAAAGTTGACTTGATATTTGTATCACTGCAGTTTAGGCCTATCAAAATCTGGAGTGTGTTAGATTGCACACTGAGTTCCACAGCCACACACACACTCACCAAACTACACCTACCTTAACGTAATAATTTATCCTTTCCACTGACGTGAACCGAGCTTCGGTCTCCGTGAGCAGCCGCACCGTAAACTGAAACAAGCCGGTCAACTGAAAGTGAAAGACAAGCACCGAGTCAAAAGGTTAATGATTTACACTGTCGCAACAATTACTTTGAAGCACTGGCTCTTTAGGCATCAGCAAATTGAGCAGTAAACAGACTCAATGACATGCCTCCTTCACAATCTCGCTAATTGATCCCAATTATCTGCCTTGATTGGCAGCTCTGTGGTGATTACAACATGAGCTAAAAACCCCGAAAATTACTGAGACAATCATCAGACAAATTCATATTCATGACATGCTGTGGAAGGAACTTTCAGAGCTGCAGAAAACTGGGTTAAAAACAGTGTTTTCTAAAAACGTAGGAGCRTCCAATGTTGGCTTTTAAGTGCAACTCAGTAAGCCAATATTAATAATCAGTGGATGATTAGAATTTAAGTGACATTAAATCTAAATTGGACTAAAATCTATAAAAAGGGAACAAAATGATGCCATTCATTAGACTTAAACTTGGTTAAAACTTCCTGGTTTAACCCCTTAATCTGTATTCTTTTCCTCCGACAGCTTTGCAATCAGGGCTGCATGATATCATGAAAACCTGTGATGTGCGATAACACTGCTTAATACTGCAGTGACGATATGACTTGAGATAAATGAAAAAATACTTAAATATGCAGTGTTGATGTCTTTCTGCTCTCGGTTCAGAGCAAAAAAAAAAAAAACAGTCAAAGAATACATCCTTTCCATTACAAAATGACGGAGTGATTATGAGTTGATGTGGTATCTCTGGTCCATTTTGTTAATCAGACCGTTGCTGACAAAACACATGAATGCAAACATTAAAGCCAACCATTCATTGCAATTTATGCAGTTATTTGCAATATGCATACTGATCAAGCTGTTCTCGCGATTGCAAGAAATTTGCGATATATTGTGCAGCCCTATTTGCAATATTTAAAACTAGACTGTTGAAAGATTTATGCATCTTGTTGTTAGGTCTGGTGTTCAGAGGCAGGATTATGAGAAAAMTGCCGTGCACCATTTTAATCTGGAACATATCTGGGACAGAGATGAGCCGTTTCATTGGTCAGTACATATGAGCAAAAGCGACAAACAGCAGCATAATAAAGCAGCCTTCACGTTGTGATGTGGGAAGATTTCTGAGTGAAATTAGAGATTTATATCACCTCACCTGATCTAGTCTAAAATGTTCTGGTTCAAAATGAAAGTCCAGAAAATGTGCTTTCTTCCTACTAAGTTACGCCATGGCAGCGATCTCTCTGAATTTCATAAAAAGTGTTTTTTTTTAAGCTTATTTAGGGAGATATTTTGTAAAAAGTGACAGCTTTACTTTGACCTGAATTTACCTATGAATCCGGTTAAATAATCCCCAAAGCTGCTGCTGCAGAACAATAAATACATTTGAGTCTTTCAGATGACTAAGGCTGTGTACTTTCTGCGCCTCCACGTGATTGTTTACAAACCTGCACTGCATACGATATGGCCAGGCCTGCATAGGCTGGAGGTATCTGATTGTGCATGAAGACAATGAGAAGTGCCACAACAGTGATAAGGGAGATGCTGATGAGGTCCAGGCGGAGAGCCAGCCAACGCATAGCGCAGCTGAAGAGGTAGCTGGTGGCCTGGTTGGTGTCCAACAGCTCTTGATATCTTAAAAGAAAGAAATAAAAATGAAAAMTAATTCAACCCAGAAATACTGTAAACACATTTTAGATGAGCAAAAGCAAACAGAGCTGAACTTCCTTCTGAAATGAGGTTTTCTGGCACCGTATCTGCTATTTTTATTTTTGTCTGAGGAGCAAACTGAGAAACTAAAAGGGGAGATAAGATAAATTTAAAGTTTAATGATATCTGTCACTGACAGATAACACCACATTCACCTCTGGAGGAAGCTGTGCCCTCTTCCATAAGCGTGGATGGTGGAAAGTCCCTGCAGACTGCTCGTTATATGAGAGGTGAATGGTGATTGGCTGATGTTCTCCAGGCGCTTTAGCTCACGAATGAAAACTCTGAAAACAGACAACAGCAACTTTTTTACCATAAAGATTTAAATTCTCGCAATTTTCAGACAAATGTTTCATTTAAGTCAGATAATTAAAAGCGTGGGTTCAGAAAAAAAAACTTTAATTCTGCTTGTGAAATCTACTTCAGTCAAGTGTAAAACACTGCAGAAGCACCGTTCTAGTAATAAAAGCACGAAAATAAGGCAAAAAATTTCAAAATCTGCATGAAATGTTGAATGAAATGCAAAGCTTTGAAATATTTGGGAAGCAACATCTTAATACAAAAACACAGCTGAGGTGAGGCGATGGAAAATGTGTGAACGAAGGCATGGAAACTGAGCTCTAATGATGCTGCTGCAGACAGGTAATGATGAGACGGTGCACAAAGAAGGATACGCTCCACAACACAGCATCTGTTTTCCTGATTCCACTAGCGRTGACTGTGAAATACGACGAGCAATGGTCACAACAAAGAGCCAAACACTTGGAAGCCAAAACAAGCCGTCGAGAAGAAAGCATGAGGACAAAAACGGGATGTGTCTACTTTTAGCTACTAAGACAGAGAAATGAGAATTACAAGTCTCTCATGAGTCATTTGGTTTTCCTCATAAAAGCTGTGTGGAGAYGAGGAAGGAACATGACACTTCCTTGCTTCCAGGCAGCAATGCACACAAACATGTTTATGCCCTGGGCACTTTCATTTTAGAATTCTATAAAAGCCGTTTTAAAAACTGGATAATTTCTATGGGAGACCCACTTTCACGTAGCATCGATACACATCCTGGTATGTTGTGACTTTTGAAAACACTGCTGAGGGGTTATCACAACTTTTCATTAACCATTTGGGGTTATCGTTCCCTTCCAGTTCGAATCTGCTGTTTATGCTCCCCAAATTTATCTCAGTCTCTGCTTGCATTTCACGACAATTAATTGCCTCCGAATGAAGATGTTTTGCAATTAAAATAATCTCTGAAGAGACAAGCAGGAGTTGGATCTAGTTAAAGAAATTATGGGTTTCAATTTATGCAGTGACAAGATGTTAAGTAATGAATGGAGAAACGGAGGAAACGATGCAAGCCTCATCAAACTCTGCCGTGGCAAAAACCATCCGAATAAATTCATCATTTCTTCCTCTGATGCAAGGTAATGAAAATCAAAGACGCTTATTGTAAAAATTTCAAATGTACATGGAATTCAGCACAACACAAAGGGAGAGGAATGTTTTTTTTTCATGATCTCTGAAAAACTGGAAATAACATGATTCTGTGGTTATTTCCCACGATGCCAGTGAGTTGTTGTTCCACTGGTTTGATTCATCTTTATTGTAAAAACGTAAATAATGGCTGAAGCAAAATCACTCAGGGCACTCCTGCAAAATTTATCACCAAACAGAGGGTGTGAAAAACTAAATCGGAGGCCATCAAGACRATTTATCTTTAATTCTTTATAATCAGAGTTTATAATGAGCTTCTTAGAATAAGTTTGAGGGGCATAATTTACGTTCACACTGTAGCATAAGGAGTAAAATAAAAACAACACACTCAGGAGCAGAGTCAGGGAGGAAAAAMGTTCTTTCATATAAGAATCTCTATGCTGTAGAGTTTTCTTTTTTTCTGCCCTGATATTCACCAGCGCCAGCTGGGGGGGGAAAAAACGCAGCTGTCACACCTGCAAACGCTATACTGAATACCAGTGGCCATTACAACAAGACAGATAGAGGTCTGACCTGGAGACTCGATTGACAATGAAGAGGAAGACCCCTAGGGGCAGGACTGAGATCAAGAACCAAGGGAAGACCATTCCAACCATCCCCAAGCAAAACAGCACCAGAGTCAGGTTCTGCAGCAGCATCTCGGCTTGCATGGAAAGTCGCACATCCACTGTGGAGAAAAGAAGTAAACTGTCAAATACATAGTAGAGAAAAAAATGGCRTTGTGAAATGTTGAGGAGAAACCTGTGCTGTGATGGCAAAATGAACCTGAGTGAGCACAWACTGCAGGGTAAAACAGTGAAAACACTGAGTTATGCTATAATTGAGATTTGTGTAAAAATGAGCWATCCCAGTCATTAAAATAGCATWTAATCTTCCTAATATACCTTTAAATGAAAATTTACCTACAGTTATGTCTTCAGAAATGCTAATTTTAAGTTWGAAGTTTTTAATTTTCTTTTAACTTGATCCGTTTTTCCATGCTGGGCTGCCAGAGTGCCGGGATATCCCTTTGCATAATGTTTGGCATCATTGGGAAGCTTGGTGACTCCCCTTTTTAATTACAGGGCTGGGATACTAAAGAATAATTATAGACCAATAAAAACTGAGTGCTATGGAGCTAAATTGGAGCCATAAAGTTTATGTGGAATTTGTTAAAC